AATTTTGTTTTTTTTTTGTTTTCTTTAAAGTTTAAAACAATATTAATTATATTAATTTTGTCAATTAAAACATAAATTTTAATTAATTTATACATTGACAACTAATGTCAATTTATTACAAATAAACATAGAATAAGGTATAATAGAAAAAATCAAAATTATTTTTTAAAAAACAAAAAAAATTATTTTTTAATTTGTGTATAAAAACTTTAAATGTACTATTAGAAAGGAACGAAGGTAGTATTGAAAAATATCGAACTAATACGATAGACAAATAATAAGGGGTTGAAGTTATATAGACAATACTCTAGGTTTGAATTTGTTATCGTTATTGCAATTTTTTTTTATTAATCAAAAAATTAAATGACGTTACACATAATTCAAAAGTATCACCAATGAGTATGACTTGCATTATTAATAGACAATAAATACATTATTAAAGGATACTAAATTAGCCATTAATATATTTCATATTTCTCTTATATTTTTTTTTTATAATTAGGAAATATTTTGAAATTCATTTTTCCCTTTCTCAAAATATTTTCTTTTTTAAGTAAAAAAATCAAGTACTAAATTGTTTATTGTATTAAAGATCGAAATTAGTATATCTATTCCATTTTTAAAATAAAAAAAAGTAAGATGTGCATTAACTATATAAAAAAGTTTGATATGTCATCAATGATAATATATGTCTATTCTATATATTAAAGTGATTAGTTGTGAACTTTAAGACACTATGTGAACTATATCTATGAATAAAAAAATTATATAAAATTTTTATATATCATCAAATGACAAACCAATATGTATATTATATATACCAATTTTATAATAATTATATTAGAGATGACTTAACTCTTAAAATCTTTTAACTCTACGGTTCTTAATGACAACTAACAACAATGTAATTTATACAATTATTTATATAGTTAAATCAAACATCACAAAATTGAATGTGTTGCATTTTCCACATAATTGTTCTAATGTAGAGAGAAGAAACAAACATTCTCATGTTATAATGTAGTAAAAATTTCACACTATTTACTTGTTTAATGTAATAAAAATCTTCAATTCCCTTTCATAGACAATATTTATAAATATTTCAAAAAATATATATTTATAATCAAGTAAATATATTTTAATTATAAAAAAATACAAATATTTATGATTCATATAAATTATGATTTTTGGTAAATTTTTTCATATATCAAGCACTTCTTAAAAAAACATGTCAAAATAAATTTTAATTAATTGATGGTATAAAATCTTTTACACTCAATCATTCAATAAAAAATATTTTATTACTCTGTTTTTTTAAGTGTCATATTTAAAAAAAAAAATTGTTCCTTCTTATTTGTCATTTTTAGATTTCAAGATAATATTAACTATTTTACTCAATTATACTCTTAATTTTTAATTATTTTATAAAAAAATTATTATTCCAACCAATAGTATCCTTTTATTTTTAAGTATATTTTAGTAAAAAATAAATAACCAATAGTATTTGGAGAAAGAAAAGGTTATTGAACACTTTTAAACATAAGAGAAGAAATTGATGATAGTTAATTAGGAGAATTTTGTGAAAACAAATAATTCAAAAAGAGTAGAATAAAAAATATATTAACAAAGTCTCTTAAAATTAGAAAAATTAATAATTTCTCTAGTAACTCCAATTTAACCCAAATGACACTTAATTAAGAAGATGACATTTAATTAAAAACCGTGGGAGTATTGGTTAATATTGAAAATAGTCTACATGCCAACAATGTGAATTTTTTTTACATAATCATTCAATCAAAATTTAATATTAATAATAAACTTATTAACTTATATAAAAAATATTTAAAAATAATGCATTATGTAAAAAAATTATTAGGAGTGCATAACCAATAACCTTTTATTAATATTATAACAAAGTTAAAGTTTAGTCTTTATATTTTGTAAATAATTTTTAGTTTTTTTCATCATAAAAAATTAAAAACTTATTATAACTTTTGCTATCAATCAATTAAAAGTAGTAATAAATATATCTTTTTAAAGCATTTATTATAAAAATTTAAAATTCCATTAATATAAAATTTAATAATTTGATGATTATGAAAGAATTATTTATTCATATTTTTACTTTGATGAAATTCAATTATCTTTGTATTTTATATTTTTATGTATACTTGCAAGTTGCAACTGAGATATAATTTAGATTATTTATGTAATGACCCACCTGTCCGTCACACTATAGAACAACTAGTTAAACCGGGAAGACCTAAATTTACACCGGTATCTTAAATTTGCTTATCTTAGATATCAAACTGAAGATGAAAAGAGAAACGAAGAATATCACTACCGTGTAAACAAATAGTTTTAGAGTAAGCATTATAAAATCTTCAAGATAATTAAAAAATGACAAAGAAAGAGAATAGATTCTCTTATATTACACATTTTGTTTCTTTTAATAAATACTAAGTTTTTAAAAAATGAAGTGATTATGAGGATATATATATACTTATACACTGAAGTAGAATATGCATATAAAGGAATATATACATATATCTAGCATGAGGCTCAACAAGTCAAAATATATCTAATACTAACAAAATGCTACGCCAAGGTAGCCTACACAAAATCAGCTCCAGCCCTCCTCGGTTGCACTGCTACTACTCTCCAGTTTATCCCTGCTTTGCTCCCATACACAATATGATCATCGCAGTCCAAACTACATGGAAAACATGCAAGGGTAAGCTAGTGAAAATAATCAACATATAAATATCTATAAACAGCCTTCAACTTAACAACACCATCATCATTCTCAAAAGGTTTAACATACAACACATAACAACACACAACTCAATCACAGCTTCACAACACAACATCACATATACAACTCATATCAACATCAATTAAACACATCAACATCTTATGCGTCGTCACACATTTCAACTCGAAGATCTCCTACAACATAGGTGAGCAGTTTAAGTGGCTAGGTCTTACCGAACCGACAACAAAGAACCATTTTGGGCTTGATAGGTAAACAATAAATTTGGATATCAATCCCCAGCACGATAACGATTTCTCAAACTTTGTCACTTAAACAAGGAAGTATAGTACTATGTCAAGATAGAACAACTGGGTTTAGGCCTACCACGACATTAGCTAGCTCAACTAAGCTATTTATGGGATTAGCCTACCGACTATCCTCCAAATACTACAATCCTCTGATACTCGGTTAGGAACTAAGTTCTCGACTTCGTACTTTACTCAAATTGGCCTCTTGTAATCGGTATAGCTCAACATGACCCCTATACCGTGGTCGCTTTGTACACGTGTGCCTCGACCTTGCCCACACACAAGACCAACTAAGTCCTAGAGGAGAACAACACAACGTCCACTCCAAGGGACAACTTCCCAAGGAGGGTTTTCAACAAATTGGACTCTCTAAGCACCACAGCTTTCTCAATCCACACAATGGGATGAGTAACTTTGAAAACATCTCCGCTAGTCCTAGTGATCAACAACTCATCATCACAGCTCAACTCTACTACTTAAACAACATGATCAAACTCAACAACTTAACGGCTCAACTCATAATCTACAACTCAATCATCATAAAATAATATCTTTTAACACATAGTGCAACATACAACTTTCATCACACAGCTACATCTTCTCATCATATCACAAAATTCAACATTTTCTAAGTCATAGAATCAAACACCTTCACGCCCGACGCAAGTAAACTCACGCCGGCCTGAACCCAACCCAAGAGCTCTAAAGCTCTTCCATGCCTGACGTATCATCATCACGCTCGCGCGTGTTGGGAGGCAAAGACTTCCAGGAGTCTCCCAAGCCCGGCGTGTCAAAATCGCGCTCGGCGCAACTCAGGCAGAGAGACCTCACCAAGGTCTCACGCCCGGCGCGCTCATTCTGCGCTTGGCGCCACCCCAGGCAGAGAACCCCAAGGAGTCTCTACGCCCGACGATATCAAATCACGTTCGGTACCATATCAGTAACTCAAAATTTTGAGCCACTATCTGATATCACGTCCGGCGCGGTTCTCCCCATGCTCAGCGTGATTCATCCAGAGACTTTCATTCCTAACCTCGCCCGGTGCAACCAACCTAGCACCCGGCGTGCTTGGACAATGGAGTTTCCTAATGAACACACGCCCGGCGCCAAGAACTACGCCCAGCGTGAATTCAAACAGTAACCCTCACAACTTCAAAATTTCAAACAACAACTTGCAAATCAGCCAGCTCAAACACATGCAATCCATGAAATGAACTACATTTACATGATACGACTCAAAAACAAGCTTTATTTCAACATGCAACCATCAAACGCATCGAAATCACTATTTTCTCAATTTTTCTGAAACCACGAAAATGAGAATTTTTTCAAAATCAACCAACGATTCCCAACGTTCTTACTCCCAATGAGTTCTATAATTCCTATACAGCAAACAAGTTTACAATCTAATTTCCCTTACCTTGGAAAAGAAGGATCCGAGCTCCAGGGAAGAGAAAGAAAAGAAGAAGAAGGAGAATGTCTGCGCTTCCGACTAGCTACCCACAATTCTATAGAGCACCTTCAATACCACAAGGAGACTTAGAAAGTTCAAATGAGAGAATAAGAAATGAGGAGAAAATAAGAGTGTTAAGGGGAAGAAGGAAAAAGAAGCGGATCTTACAATTTATATTGTTGTTAGAAATATTCATTGATGATGATGATTAGTTTTGATCTTGTATAAGTTAGTGTTTAACTTTTATCTAAATTTTTTATTAAAGAGTATTTTTCGAATGTGTCAATTTGAATGTGTCTTATTAAAAGAATATTTAATAGTAATAATTCCCGTTTCTATTATTTGTCTCTTTTGGTAATTTGATCTTCAGAATTTAATATTTAATTTAATGTTTTTGGAAAAAATGAAATTGGAATTTGTTGTACAGTTTTTTCTTTTTACTCAATTTGTTTTTTTTTTTGTTGTTGAGTTATGAAATTAAAATTCATAATATTGATTATTTCGTTACGATTATGAGGAATTGGTGAGCAGTGTAGTGTGTTGTGTGTAGAAGTGGCACTCTATAATTTCACGTTTCTCTTCTCTATCACAAAGTTGAAACCAACATCAGAGACAGAGAAAGATGAACGGCGACGACAACAAGGGTTTGCTGTGGAAGCTTCCGGAGATTAAGTCCGACAACTTCGGCAAGGTGGGCCCCGCCTTCGGCATCGGCGCCGGCTGCGGCCTCGGTTTCGGCGTTGGCCTTCTCGGAGGTCGCATTCTTCAACCCTATTTCAATTTCGCATGCTTCTTGTTATGTCATGCTTAAATTCTATTTCCATGAACCATTATGTGCCATGGACTCGTACTTTTTCTAGTATGTGCAATATTAGCTTCAACGCCGTTTGGATTGTGGAAATAAGGGTTATTTATTTATTTATTTTTACAAATTTTGAAAAACAAACAATAGAGGAAAAATATGGTTTCGAGTTTGAGTTCAGGTTTGCAATTATGTTAAATATGCAGACAGAGAACTTTGTTGTCTATAATAGTACTATCCTGGTTGAAGGATCGCCTCTAAAAGAGGACCTGTTGTTTGTAGAAAAATACATGGTAAAAAGATGGTGCCTTTTTTTGTAATTAATAAATGAAAACAGAAAAACCTATAGTGTCAAGTTTAGCAGAAGAGACTAATTTCTCACAACTGGGTGAATCAAGGTTTAAAATTTAAATCCTTGCTGGGATAGGTGTAAACATTTAGTGTTTGACTGTGTCTCGAACGATATTACTTTCAAAGGAGAATATCTATAGGAAGTGGGAGCTGAAAAAATGAAGGGAAACAGAAAAACGTTTTCAACCTCATAGACCTTTATTTGTCATTTGAGCTTAAGTTTGCAGTTAAAAAATTGAAATCTCAAAATCCATAGTGTTGAAGGTGCAGTATTTATTTATTTATTTATTTTTGTATTTTGGTTGTTGACTAATTATTAATTAATGGTTTGGAGCCAATTAGGAATTTAGGATGAAGGACTCTCTGGGAGTCGGGAGAGAGAAGTCTGAGTGCTGAATTGTGAGAAAAGGGAAGAGCTAACAATGGAATTGTAGTTTTGTTTTTGGAGATGCTGGCATTAAGTTGTTGAATGAGGGTGACCCCTTTTTTGAAATAATTGGTGGGACAGGGACTAGTAAATTGTTCTAAGCGATAAATGAATGAAAGAGGGTACTCCCCCAGTTGCTCAGTTGCACATTATGATTGTTTTATGCACTTTAGGATTTTGCTCCCCTCTTGGGCCTAAAGTTGACTAAATGTGAGTGCAAGTCATTAATAAACTACAGTGTGTAACATTACAAATTCCTCTTTTGATAGTAATATCTGTTAAATAGTTAAATTTCCCTGAGAGTGTTGTGCAGGATTTGGGTAAATTTTGGTGCTCGCTTGTTGGTTTGATCTTATGGTATAAACCAGACATTTACAACTATGGTAAGGGAATCTCTTAAATTGTTTTATTTAGGAAGAGACTTTGTTGAAATCCTTACTCTGGTTTATGCCTTCTGACAAATGATTGTTAATTCCTTTGTGTAATTGGTGTAAAATATAACTAAAAACTAAAATAATATAATAGTGAGATGTAATGTGCTACTTTTCAGCTTCTTGTTTCAACCTTGCTGTTGATTTCTCTTCTCATTCCTTTGCATCCGTCTAAGCTTGTAGATTATGTAGCACGGATTCGGACACGATACGGAGACACGACACAGACAAGGACACAACATATATATAATATATAATATAAATAATATGACAAAAATATTATATATTAATTTAACAAGAACCTACTAGGTCTCAAAAAAAATTATTGAGACATCATATTCATAATTTTCTTTTTAAATTTCAAATCCTCCCTTCATTTTTTTTATTTTTATTAAAAAAATTTCTTTTCTATTACGTGAAAGTTAAATAAGAAGAGATAAAATAATTCTCTTCATTATTTATTTTTATCAATTTTTTTCTTTTTTATTTTTTTAAAATATCAAATCTTACCTTCTTTGTTTCTATTTTTTTGGGGATTTTTTTTTCTTTTTTTCTAAAAAGATCTCAAATCATCCTTTCTTTGTTCTATTTTTGTTGAGATTTATTCTTTTTTTTTTTAAAAATCTCAAATTCACGTATCGAATAGTACATCGAGATAGAGACGTATTTATTTGCAGGTGTCTGCGATGGAGACACATCAGTTTTGTAGGTGTCCATGATAGAGACGTGTTCAATTTATGTGGACACGGTCTGTCGAAGTATTCGAGATGCATCCACAGTGTGTTCGTTCCCAAAGAGTGTCAGACTCAGGGACACAACAGTCTCATGCTATGTCCGTGCAACATAGCTTGTAGATGCCTTTTCAGATGCTGCCACTAGTACTAATAATTGGGATCATCCCTTGCTCTATAGTAACAGAGAGATGTAGTTTATGCTGCTTGTTTATCTGGTTCATATTTTAAGTTTGAACATACTCCCTGCTGCCTTGTTTTGTGCTTATCATAGATCTTCACAAAATATTTGTTTCACTCCAGGAGTGGGTTTTGGCCCTGGAATTCCTGGTTTCCAGGTTGGTTTTGGATTTGGTGCTGGGTGCGGTGTTGGTTTAGGGTTTGGCTATGGTGTGGGCAAAGGAATTGCACAAGACGAGAACAAGAGGTACTCTAATGTTGGGAATCCTTTCCGTGGTTCTGGAAGCATAGTTTCTGAGTAAGTAAATTGTCTAAGTATCCGTACTTTTATGCTCTTTTTGGTGTGGATATGCTCATTTGTCTGAACCCTTTTATGCTGTTTCATTTTACTATTTTACTGATAATTGGTCAAAGTCTTCTCTATTTTCTTTGCTAATACTTTTACATTTATTACCAAAAGAGATGAAATTCCTGTATTTGATATTTTTTTGAAAGTTTTTTATATTTAAGTTTGAATATAGAAATGTAAAAGAGAATCAAATAATAATTCACATAGAAAAAAGAATAATTTTTCTGTGATAAGACTTTGTTATCTAATACAATTGTTATTTTTACATTTCTTCAAGGGCCTATTTATTTCAAAGGAGGGGAGGAGAGGGTAGAGATTTCGATGGAAGGGAGGGGAGGGGAAGGATTTTAAAAAATAATTAACCTTTGTACCTTTATAATTTTGAATTTAATAACACAAGCAAGGATATTTTGAACATTACACTATAAATGTTTTAAAACCCCTCCCCTCCCTCCAAATCTCCCCCAATATTGGAGGGGAGCTAAAATTAAATGAGAAATTTTACTCTTCTCCATTCTCCTCCTAAAGTTTATAAAAGCCCCTTCCGTTCTCTCCATTTCTCTCCAACCAAACACTATGTAAACCTTTGTTCATATAATTTTGTTTGTTCAATTAATTTCTCAATTATCTGGTTAGGTTGACAGATTTATTAATGTTGGTACTAATTTTATATTGTGAAGATCGTGATTTAGATGTGGCATTGAGAAAATTCAAGAAACTGTTTGCAATTTGACATATCCATGCTTGTTAATTGCTCTAACAGAAAACACCAAAACTTGAAATTGAAAGCGAGTTTGTTGAATTTTTTATTATAATATGCCACTTTTCACAAATAATTTTGGTAATGTGAAAAGCTTAAAGCCTTGTTGTTCGAATATGAATTCTTTAGGTTTGTAGCTTCACATGATTTGACATTATGCTTCAAAAAAAATCTTGTTTGATATTCTTTTACGAGGGATATTTTGCTAACGGTATGTGGTTATAATGGCCCCTATTATCTATTCTTCAGATATACCGTTGCTGCAAAGATCTTGATGCATGAAAGATTTTTATACATCTGAAATTGTTCAATAGCTAGTTTTCAAATTCCGTTTCATTTTTAACGTCATTTAAATATTCCATGTTATTTTCAGGGATGATATTACTGCACTAGTGGACGACCTTGTCATTAATACTAAAAAGCTTATCCGGGCAACATCAAAAGAAATTGAGAAGTGGAGAAGATAATGGAAGAGGCCATTTTAAGTACAATTGTGTAAACAAAAAACACTCTGCCAGTATTTTGCATTCTATAGACTAAATCAAGGCACAGCATATTCAGACTGTGTCAGTGTACATGAGATACTACATTTTTATATTAATATTTACTGGGGGCTATTATTTTTCCTGAATTGAAATCGAATTCCACCATTGTACATAACTGGGGTATGATTTGACTGAATACCACAATATTGTGAAGTAACCAGCGCATTAGTGAGGCCCTGTAAGCTAATTTTCCTAGGTTATGGTTAATTTCCAGCAAATCATGAGATGAACTGTAGTGTTATTAATACCGACTTCGACTAGTCGATTGAGTTGGTCTGACTGGCAACCGATAAGTATAGCTGGTCCGAAATCGATATTGGAGGAAATTCTATGGAACTGGTGTGACCTGGCTGGTTTTTTGAGTGAATTTCTGAGCTGGCTGGTTGCAGTGGTCCCAGTGACCTAGAAGGTTTTGAGTGAATTGGTGTGTTGCGAGTTTAATCGGATTTTTAAAAGTGTGGTATGATTTTTATTTTATTTTTTTAATATTTTTTTAAGTTTGAAATTTACAAGTTATGAATTTTTTAATATATAGTACATGTAGTTTAATCAGTGATTTATCGGTTCTACTAGTTCTTTATTAATCCAATGTCTTGAATGAGTTGATAACTGGCCCAAAGTCTTATAATATTGGATGAATCTTCTGTTATCAAAGTTGGAGAAAAGGCTTAACATTGCCTGAAATCTTAAGTTATTTATTTGAAGGGCGGGGTGTGTTTTAACAAATTCTGAAATACTTGCAAATATTTTAGAAAATCAACGAGTAAATTCTTGAATGGAAGAACAATCACTTCCCCCTCTGTGTAATGTCAACTTGGAAGCACTCACAATGGTGCTGCAACCATCTAGAAAAGACCTTGTGCCGTTGTGCGGAGCTAAAGTTGCAAACTCGGTATTTTTTAAAATCTTCGTTTGTGAAGTTTTGTGGTCCATATACGATTTGTTGAAATTCTTCTTTCACCATGCAAATCCGCCCATAGAATCCCCCCAGAAGAAAACAAATTATTTTCATCCTTACTGCGAGTGTTACTACTTACTACAATTATGTGGTAGTCATTATTTCTACTGATTGTAGAAAATTACAAAAAACAAAAAACCTAGCTTTTGTAGGTAAAGGGAATGAAAATGGATGATAGAAAAAAGTCCAAGTGGTTTGAGGATAAAACATGTTATCCAAAACCAAGCATTCTTCCAGCTCAGGAGATACCATCATCCCTCACACATCAGGAATTAGCCAATCAAATCATTGCATTGGATTACAATTCCCTCACGTAGACCAATCAAAGTCCATGTTCATGAATCTGACATGGCGCGTCCACATCCACCAGTCCATGCATATAGTATCTGCATCTCCATCTTCCTACTCCTCCATCCTTTATCCTCCTGCTTGTGAATCAGCACCACATTCACCTGAGTTTGTGAGGCTTCCAAAGCATGGCATCCCTTGCAGCTTCCACTGCTGCTGCTTCCCTTGGCATGTCAGAAATGCTTGGAAACCCCATCAACCTCAGTGGTGCCACAAGGCCGGCTCCATCTCCCTCTAGCCCTGCCTCCTTCAAGACTGTGGCCCTTTTCTCCAAGAAGAAGGCACCACCACCACCACCAAAGAAAGCTGTTGCTGTCTCTCCTGCCAATGAGGAGCTTGCCAAGTGGTATGGTAAGTCCCCAAGATACGTTTGTTTCAACTGTTATGTAACTTATGTTACTTCAACTGTGTTCTTTTGACACTTCAATCGAAGGAAGATAACTAATAGTATGTTTGGTTTCACTTCCACTAAGCCTTCAATGTCGGTCCATCTTAAAGCTACTCTGAGTAGTAGAAGCCTGTTTAGATAAAATCTTAGAAGAGACTCTATTAAGATAAAGAGTTTTTTTTTAGTAAAAATGCTCTGAAAAACTTTATTAAGCTTACAAATTAGCTAGTCAATGAGTGTTGGACATGAGTTTGAACTCACTTCCAAACATGCACTAACTAGTTGCTAAACCTATTTTTGTTTCATTTGTTGGCAGGTCCTGACAGGAGGATCTTCTTGCCAGACGGTCTCTTGGACCGATCCGAGATCCCGGAGTACTTGACCGGAGAAGTCCCCGGAGAGTATGTGGCTTTTCCTCTCTTCTAGTCCACTTTAACTCACATTGCCTTGCAAGGCATCGAACAAACTGTTTGAAATTTTTTGGTTCTTCTTTTGCTTAATTGGGTAATCTGTGTTCATGCAGCTATGGTTATGACCCCTTTGGTCTTAGCAAGAAGCCAGAAGACTTTGCCAAGTATGTCTAAAACTCCATCTAGATATCTATGTATGTGATAATGTAACATTAATTATGTTCTAATGTTGCGGTTGGTGGTCTGATGCAGATATCAGGCTTTTGAGTTGATTCACGCCAGATGGGCAATGCTTGGTGCTGCTGGATTCATCATTCCCGAGGCATTCAACAAATATGGAGCAAACTGTGGTCCCGAGGCTGTTTGGTTCAAGGTTTGCAAGCTTTATAGTAGTAAATTATAGTAACAACCGTTACTATGTCAAGACCAAGAACACTTTCTTTTATGACACATAATAAATGAAGTTCCATAGATCTTAGAGCATCTCCAATGGAGTTGGTGTCACATCACTGTCATATCAACTCTGGCCTACTTTATGGGTTGCTTAACTTTTAGCAAAATTGCTTCTATAAGCAACTTTGCTAAAATTTAAGCAACCCATAAAGTGGGCCAAAACTGATATGGCAGTGATGTATAAGCAACCCCCATTAGAGATGCTCTTACAAGTACTAATGCAAGACTCTTCAGTTTCTCTTCTATGAGCAAAACAACTGTGTAAATGACCGTTCTGGTGCAAACTCAATATAAACTTGAAAGAATTTTTTTTCCCATTTATTTTACCCATCTCATCTTCAATTTTTAGTGTTCATTGTTAACCATTCTTAAACTATCCTGATAATTGTGCAAATAATCTATTTTTCTTTTCACTAGAGTTACTCTCAACATTTCAATTTAGAACATAGCAGCATTTCATTTTGTGATTGCATTGTTCACACTAAGCCAAGTCAATTTTCTGTATGGAATTAATGCAGACAGGAGCTCTGCTTCTTGATGGGGGTACGTTGAACTACTTCGGGAAACCCATCCCCATCAATCTTATTGTGGCTGTCATTGCTGAGATTGTTCTTGTGGGAGGTGCTGAGTACTACAGAATTATCAATGGCCTGGTATGTAAATTTGTCAATTTGAATATTTATTTGCAGTCATTGTCAATACATGTTCTAAACCCTACTTATTACAACAAGGTTATTAGTTATTCAACTGAACCATCTTATTACTGTTTTATTTCTGAATTAAGTGAATTAACCCATGTATATTAGCACCGTGTTCATAAATTTGAAAGAATTTGTAACAAAACTTTTGGTGCGTGAGTATGTTGGATGAACAGTTGTAAACTAAATTTTCTATAATCTCAACTTTTTATAATTGATTTTGGCTAAAATTGAGTTTAAAGGGAAATGTTATGTTTAGAAACTTTATCTCAAAATCAAGTCAAATGAGTTATGTTTAGAAACTTTATCTCAAAAGCATGTCTGCAGTACAGTTTAGGACAAAACTTAGTTATAGTATCATAGGTACTGTTAATGTTGATCACCAATCAGAGTTAAAATTTTATCTCAGTAATATGCATTTACATTTAATGCAAATCTCAGTAATATATACTCATGCATATTATTGAAGTGAAATTTCAACTCTAATTGGAGATTAACAGCAGTCCCTAAGTTTTGTCCCTAAAGTTTATCAAAAAATTCCCACCCCAACCCAAAAGCTACATTTTTTTAGCCTCTAGTTAAATGTGCTTTTAAGGAAAAACTTTATTATTGTAGACATAATACTTTTTTCTACAAAATCTCATTTGACAATTTCAAAAGCTAGTTTGTGGACATGAATGTTCCCCAAATACTTCATCAACTGACTTACGAAATGTGACCAATTTTGGGCAGAACTTTGAAGACAAACTTCATCCAGGTGGTCCATTTGACCCATTGGGGCTTGCAAATGATCCAGACCAGGCTGCACTCTTAAAGGTGAAGGAAATCAAGAATGGAAGACTTGCCATGTTTGCCATGCTTGGATTCTACTTCCAAGCCTATGTCACTGGAGAAGGCCCTGTTGAGAACCTTGCAAAACATCTCAGTGACCCTTTTGGCAACAACTTGCTCACTGTCATTGCTGGCTCTGCTGAGAGAGCTCCAACTCTCTGAATCATTCATCTTCATCTTCTTCTCCAGTCTTAATGTACAATACATATCACTGAGATTTTATTAAGGCATTTTGCTTTCTTCCTTGGAACTCAACTTGCTCCACTTTCTTGAATTTCTTCCAATTTTTGTGTCCAATTACATAAATAAATCAGACTACAAAACACTAAATGGAAACAAATTCTTAATTATGAACTTAATACAGTATACTGCTTGAGTTATTTTAACTAATATTTTGGACTAAATCATAGAAATATATCAGCCAGTGGTTGGCCTTCAGAGTTTGTAGATCAACCGATGTGTATCTTAGTCCATACTTGATATAGACATCATTTGACAATATCAGAAGGTAATCACAACAGAAGCAAAAGAAATATACAAGGAAATTATATATAGTCAAAATCATTAACTTCACGATAAGTTAAATTCAGAAATAAATTCTATACTGTTGTGCCAAAAATTAGTTGCAAAAGCATGAGGATTTTCATCTAGTTAACTCCCAATAATATATGCAAGCTAATGAAATATGTTTTTTTATTTTATTTTATTTTATGTGTAGTTACTAGTTGAAGCTCATTTTCAACTCAAATATCGATGATACTTTTTGTTTTTTTTTTTACTTAATAAGGAGGTAAATTCCTTTCTATCGATTAACAAGTCATTAATTTAAGTAAAATTTTGAATTTGAATCTTACGAATAGAAAAAATATAATTCAAAGGATAAATTCTATTAAAGGTAATTAGTTAAGTTCCATGACAGAAATTAATCATCAGTAAAATTAATATATATTTCATATCAATAATATGATTATAAAAATAAAAAAAAATCTTTCTTACTAGTTAGGTCATATA